GAGGCTAACACAGAGCACTGGAGAATTCGAAACTGGAGTATTAGAGGTAATTTTTCTACTTATCTTCAGAGAGATTAAAAATCTGATTGACAAAGAAATATTAGGAAAGGTATTCTGTTGGTACTAATTTCACAAAAGTAGGAAGTGGACAAATAGAATATGATACTATCGTACAAATCGCTTATTCTATCGTCGTTTTCAGATGCTTGTAATGCTTGTGCACAAATCGTTCTTTGATATATAAAGTGTCTATGCATATATATCGTATTAAGCTAATGACAATATTTTGGGTAATTGACTCAAATTACCGAGTACCAAAAAAGGCCTTGGGTTTRTGTCACTTGTTCTATTAGGTGTAAGCATGATGGAAATTTGCATGACCATGCGCTGAAACCTCTGTTTCTTATCTGCATAACTGCAAATACAGTTATGTTAATTTTGAGATGTTGACATATCAGAGTACAAAAAAGAAAATAAGCATGGGTTACTCTTTGAATATATTTAAACCGCAGGCATCCCGATCGCGGTAATCTGTGGGAACAGTGTACATCCTTTATGGTAGAGGTATATCCAGACGACCTTCAGGTAATGATAATAGGTTATTAAAAGGTCTTGATAGTACATACCGAGTAAGCGAGGCTGACCTAGCCTCGCTTTGGTTCTTCAGATCCAACATCTTGGGAAAAACCGGTAAAACCGGCGGGAGATCGTTAAAACACAGGTTGTAGAATTTTTCGTCCAAGTTCCGTTGAAAAGTCATAGGTAGTGCTTCACAATCATGAAGACTGACCTGGACATAAAACTCCAAAACCCAATATTTTAAACAGGAAACCGCTGTTTTCTAAAAGAGGAGTCAAGGAGTACGAACAGAAATTTGTTTTTCTCTTTTAGGTTGCATCACGATGTGCTGAGTCAACCAGAAAGCTAAAGCGCCTCGGTGATGAGGTAGTCACTTCATAGCATTACGTCCTCTCTTAGCTTAGGCTTCAGCCTTCGGTCTTGCTTCCTTTTACAAGAAGCATTGTTATAGKCAATCAACAACGAAAACGTAGTCACAAGACTGCGATGGATGTTTTTAATTTCACACTATCTATTTTTGCAGCAATTTCATTTGCGATTTCAGCGGGGATTTTTGTATTGATATGGTGACGATTGAGTACGAGTGACGATTTTAACTGCGATTTTAGGCATTCACAACTCTGCGATATTGGCAAAGTCTTGGACATGCTCAAATTTCACAGCGATTTTGCGGCGTTTTTTTCTTTTTGTGTGTGTGTGTTTTACAAAACTACGAAAATATGATTGTGGGTACCCTCAAGGGTAATTTTTGTACTCGTGATCGCGTGTGAAAAAGGACTACAGCTAAAGCAAACAGGACAAAAACATGACAACTTTCTTTCTTTCTCCCCTTTCTCTCTAACTTTCTTTCTTTCATTCATTTTAACTGAAATATAGTTGTTCTTGTCATCCTTATTTTTTTCTTTTCTTATTTGTTTTATTTGAGACGATTTCTTTTTTCATTTTACACAGAAGATCATACTCGAATAGCGACGTCGAACTTAGTATCGCGGGTTTGAATCTCGACTTTTAAACAATTMTTTTTTTCTTTCCATCTTTTTTTAACTTCAAAATATATACTTGCTTTTTTTGTTTTGTTTTTTCTTTTGGAAATTGCTAACTGGCCTTCAAGCAGCACAAAATTACAAACGATTACAGAGGATTGACGCCTTTGATTGTATCAGTTAAAGTTTAAGCAAAGCAAAAACCGAAASTTCTAAGAGGGAGTTTGGGTCGAGTTTACAAGAAAGTGAGTGAGTGGCAATTGTGCACAATTCATCCACCTTCAATAAATTGCTTACGCAATCTTCGGGGTCATGATCTGATTGCTGCTTTATGTTGTTTTGATAGGTCAATGTGTCCTTGCAGCCTGCAACGTTATTAGGGTCAGGTTGCGTACCTWCTACACGTAGTCAACAAATTTTAACCGCGGATCGAAGAACAGAAGAAGCTCTCAGGGCTGCRCAGATAGCCGTGCGAGCTCACCCTGACCATTTAGAAAGCTGGGGAGTTCTGTGTGCTTCACTAACTGCACGTGGTGTTGCCTTGAAAAAAGCGAAAAAAGGAAACGTGTTACCCGCGATAGCTATGGCGCTTTCTAACTTTACTATGTTAAATTGTAAGTAGAATTGAAAGGCAATAATTTCCCTGGACACTCTCCTATCCGTCTAGTTGTCGAATCGTGAGTCTTGTCTACCCTCATGACATGAATCTTTGAATATGTTGAATGTTGGCGAAATCTATCTAATATGACTATATTTATTTTTTTTATCATTTCATTGATGTTTGTGTCTTTTGTTACTGCCAAACCTCGTTGTGATATCACTACAACACACCAATACCCCACTCCTCCCAACCCCACCCCTACCCGAAAAAAAGTAGTTTAGGCATGATTTAAAGTTTTTCAATTATTTTGATAGGTATAAAGGAATTGAAAGAACTCGAAGCAAAATCTAAATTTCAGCTTAAAACTTTAACACTTTCACGAAAGAATGAGTTGTTGGCGTTGCAAAAGTGGACAGCAGTACATACGGGATACTCAATGATGCACTGTGGATTACTTAATGACGCATTCAAGCACTGTGACGAGGTCAAACACAATTTCTATTTTGATATCATTCAATTTTGCAGTACTATGTTTTATCATCAAGCAGGGTTTTATGGTGCGGACTTTGTTGTAACAGCTTTTATGTAACCACGCCTGCAAAACTAAGCTTAAAAATTGTTAACGTTGATCCCATTATTATCAAAAATATAATCAGCAGCATGGGCTTTATTTGTGCTAAAAACGGGTCAAAACKTAAAAGCATACTTTGAGCTCTCTTGTATCAGCAACACAAGCCTCAAGTGACTTCAAGTTAACAGTGGGAAGAGTTTGTTAAGGCCTGTTTACATGAGATAGGGTGCCCCTACGTGGTAGGGCTAACTACTTTGTTTTCTTTTCCCTGGAGGATTGAAAACAAAACAGTTTGGCACATAGGTATGTGCACCCTATCTCATGTAAACAAAGTCTTAGTATGCTTTTGCTTTTTAAGGCATCAAAGGTTTGCAAATTGATATGAAAGTTTGGATTTTAGTCTCCGAAGTTAGTTAGAAAAGAATACTAATATTTCTCCGCAATAGAACCTTTGCAGCTGGGGATCATGTGACCACACCTACCTTAAATCARTCAGCTATTAAAAAATGATGTTCAGAAATGGAAAGAAGGGATCAAAATAAGTAAGAAAACATAGTTTCAAGTCTMAACACTAAATATTTCAAAATTGATAGCAAATATAAAATCATTGTTTTTCTAAAGAAACATATGAAAAAAAAGGCTTGCTCTCCAGCTCTATTTTCCCATACGTTTAGAAAAATCAATATTTTATATTTGCTGTCATTTTTGAAGTATTTAGAGTTGAGACTTTTGCTATTTTACCAACATAAACCTTCTCTTTACATTTCTGAACATCATTTTTTGATAGCTGATTGATTTAAGGTAGGTKTGGTCACGTGACCCCCAGCTGCAAAGGGCCTATTGTAATTGCAACTCGATATTCTTATAGGTCTTGTTTTTGCAAACAGTTTATTAGTTTCGCTCAGGGTTATGTTAACATTTTCACTTGCTGCTGATTCGGTGCCTTCTTTTCAAGGAATCAGTAAGTTATTATGTTATTGATACTGATATAATTTTCTCTGGTTCACAGGGCCTTTCRGATTATTCGGATGATCCTCAAACATGCACCAACCTTCATTTCTTAAAGGCTCAGATTCATTTTTGTACAGCGGTATCATCTATGGAGGGAGCTTTGAATCATTTACAAACGTCAGTACTGTCTAGTCCATATCATTCTCATGTTGCTTGGCAGGTAGGCTATCGGTTCGTAAAGGGTTTTCATTAGTAGGTTTATTAAATCAAGCTCGATATGATATCAAAGATTTGATTGGATACGGCGACCAATAAATTAATGACATGTTTGTAAAGTTCAAGACGTAAAAGATTAAAGGAGATTCACTGGGACAGCACATGCGCAACATAACTAGCCGCGTTAATATAGTTTACCTGTGAAATATGTGTTGTTTATAGAACTCGAGCGCGTGTTTTATCGGGATATATAGATTCGAGCCACGGGCGAGAATCTATTTACCCGATAAAACACACGCACTCGAGTTCTATAAACGACTTCTAGAACTCCAACATCCAGAAATTGTTATCATTTTAGAAAAAAAAGCCGAACAATATGCGGAAACAGTGATAATGAATATAAAACTTCTAATGAGCATGTGCATTGTGCCACAAGTGAAAGAATTTTGATCCCACACGGAAGAACGGCTAGTCTATGCTAAAGTACATATGAAGGGCTGGGTGCGAAAACGGCCTAAGTGACGATTCAGGGTATTTTTGAAATTTTCGAAAAATGGAAAAAAAATATATCCAATCATTTGTTTCTGGTCTAAATAATCATGTTTGCTAGTTATTTTTCGTGATTTCTTTTAAAAAAGGGCAAAAAAGCCTCATTTAGTTACGTACTGTACCCTCCCCTCCCCCAAACTTTAGCTTAGGGTTAGTTTCAGCCTTATGCACTAGGGTTAGGGTTCCTATAACCTAAGACAGGGTCTAGGGTTCCTTGATTTAGGATTAGGTTTAGGGTAGGGTAGGGTTAACGTTAGCTAAGGGCTAGGCTCTAAAATCTGAGTTTTGAAAGCAAACACCCCTCCCCCCGAGTCCAAACTTTGAAGTTTGGATATAATCACTTAAACATGCATGGGTGACTGAGCTAYTCATTTTGATATTGAAAAGCCAGTCAAGCGACAGTTGAAGTCACAAAAATTAAGCGWAAAAAGGGCAGTTGTTGTGACGCTAGTTCTCGCCTACAGTGACTAAAAAAGCACTATTTCGTTGTCTTTGTTTACTACAACATTCTACTGTAGATTTCAACAAGCGAATAACTGTTTGTACCAGAATGCAGTCCTACGTCTGTCATTTAATCGTTTTATTTTTCAAATTTTCCATTAACATCTCAAGCTACGGCTTTCTCTTTGGACACTGATTCAGAACACGTGTTTTAACCGGATTCTTCTGCGCAATGAATTCTGGGAGTTGTTTACATGCCGCGACAGCGGACATTCCATCACCTCCAAAACAGAAATTTATATAAAGTCTTCAGCCTTCTCGGAATTCTGCCAAAATTTCAAGTCGATTGTGTTCCTCAATAGCCAAAGCCAAAACATCCAAAAATTACTGTGGCAGCTCTAAGGATTTGCCTTTAGACGGTCTTTTAAGTGATTCTCTTTAAGCGAAGGTCCAAGTTAATCGAATGTGACCCAATAGTTCGATGCTCATTGGACTAATAGCTCATGGATAATTAATAAGTTCTAGAAATAGCTAACATTATGTTTGCTTCTTTGTTTTGTATTGTGTAATCAATGCTAGTATAGTCTTCTTTTCGGTTCCCTGCGCCATCTTGAAAGGTAGCCGTGCCTTTGCATCAAAGCGATACGCCCTGAGCGTTCAATAATAGATACCTGTAAATTATTGTTTGTGGGTGTGAAAGGAGGTTTCCATCATTGCACGCTCAACGGTCCTGTCGCTTTGRTGCAAAGGCACGACTACCTTTCAAGATGGCGCAGGGAACCGTAAAGGAGACTATTGACCATAGACCTATTGACCATATTACTAAACATCGACAACATGTATTGAATTTCCTCTAAGAGCATCTGAATAATTTAATTATTTTGAGGGAATTAATGAGGCTTTTACCTTTAGGTGTTGGCCGAAGTGCATATCAAACTGGGATCTCCAATGGCTGCTGAGCTCTGTTATCGAAAATGTCTCCAAGCTGGTATCGATAAAAGGTTTGTACCCAAACTTGACAAGAAAAATATGTAAAAGAAAATATTTTGTTGTTGTTGTTTTTGTTKTTTGTTTGATTGTTTGTTTGTTTTTGTTTTGTTTTATTATTTTGTTTTATTTTGCTTTCCAATACCTATGCATAACGCTATTTGACTTCTGTAGTAGTTATGCTTCATTCTATAGAGATATTCAGTGATGACATGGATCTTGTCTTTGTCTTTTCTTTGTTTCATTCATGGGATATAGCGCTCAGGGCCATCCCCTACTTAAAATTTCGCGAAAGTAAACGAGTAAAGGTATCCTTTARMAGCATGATTGGATAGATAGAAATGTATACAAATGTAGCCAGGACTGCTATATGATGTTGTAAATATACAAATATACAATGTTAATGGGCACCCGTTGTGGTTGCCTTAATAATAGCCCTACAATATTTTCCATTTTTTACTATATTTTCTTCTTGTTTTGTCACCAAATTCTATACGACTCGACGGCCAATACTCCTAACAAGACCACCATGCTGAGATATTCACGATCTTCACTTCTGAGCTTGCGTTTTTGGTGGAAATTACCTGCGAGTCAAGAAGTCAGTCAGGCGATTCAAAATTCCCGCCATAATCAACATCAACTTCAACCTCTTCAGCCAGAAATATGGGGGATCCTGCGTTCATTGGGTCTACTTAAGCGATTCCGAGGACTCAGACTACGGAAAACTACTTCACTTATTCATCAAATCCACCCTAAAATCACTACAAGACATAATTATGTTTATTCAACTCCAAAGCAAATCAATTTTCATAACCTAATTAATATTCAATTTGTCACTACAACTACAGAACAAGACACACTTCAAAGATCAGCAACAATAGCTCCTTTTTCAGCGCTCAATCTACATCATGAAAACGGGATACCTGTGGCTCATCCGTCACTTMGTCGAATCTCGCGTCCAAATCATTTTCATACTCKATCTGTGATGAACCTGATTAATGTTAAATGTGCGGCGACCATTGYTCAAGAAGATCGGAGTGTGGGTCTTGCTTTCTGTAACATTAATACTCGATCCCTTAACCACAAAGCGGCTGAATTCACAGACTTGATCTGTTAATATAAGTCTGATATTGTGTCTATCACCGAAACAYGGTTCCACGATAATGAGTCTGCTAGTCGTGTGCTCTGCACACCGTCTGGTTATAACTTTTACGATCATCCGCGCTCCGGACGACGTGGTGGAGGTACTGGCGTCTTGTTTCGTGATTATCTATGTGTATCCAAGGGTCCAGCAGCTGAGCTCCATTCCTTTGAATACTCTGAGTGGAAGATCACATCTGGATCTCAGCGCATTCACTTTATCATCGTCTACAGACCTCCCTACTCAGAGGCGCATCCTATCACCACCAGCGCCTTCTTTGTCGAGTTTGCGCACTTCTTRGAGTCTGCTGTCTTCTGTTCCGACCATCGTGACTTTAACATTCATGTAGACCTGCCTTACGACCCAGATGCTATTAAACTGCGTGAACCCATATCAGCAATCATACTCTTGATCTTATTATAACTCGTCATGGCGATAAGATCTGCGTCTCTTCCCCATGGACTAACCACTTGTTTTCTGATCATATGCCAGTATTCTGTCGTCTTTGGGTTGATAAGCCACCCCTCAAAGAGACAAAGATCTCATTTCGCAAAGTAAAATCTATCGACGTGGATGCTTTTAAGGCTGATCTGCTAGCTTCTGATCTATGTAAAGACCTGGCCTCCTTGGATATTGACGACCTTGTCGCTCGCTACAACGACACCCTGCTCTCCACTTTAGACAACCATGCACCTCTTCTCCCCAAGTCAGTCACAAAAAGACCAACTGTCCCCTGGTTCTCTAGGGAGGTTAAGGCTGAAAAGCTTGCTAGTCGCAAGGCAGAGAGAAAGTGGCGTAGGTCGAGAATGCATACTGACTTTTTAGTCTATAAAGCCAAGAAAAATCAGGCTGCTCACATCATGAAAAGCTCGCGTAGAGACTACTATACCAAATTCATCGATGAGAACAGCAGCGATCAGCGCAAGTTATTTCGTTCCGCAGGGACTCTCTTCGATACAAAGGCAGATCTGGATTTCCAGGGTTATAGTGACAACAATATTTTGGCTAATGACATTGGTTTGTACTTTGCACAGAAAACTGAGTGCATGCGCACTGACCTTGACAACTACACCTTGTTAGAGAATACTGAGCCACCTAGCACAAACATGATAGAACTGCCGGCGAACATCCATCAGCTGAATTCACTCAGTGAATTATCTGAAGAAGACGTTAGAGAGCTTATCTCTAGATCAAGTAAGAAGTCTTGCTCGTTAAACCCTATCCCCACTCCACTCGTGGTTGAGTTTTTGGACGTTCTTCTCCCTACAATCTGACTCTGAGAATCAGTCCGTCGCAATTGATGCCATGCAGAAATGCATTACTGATATTAGACATTGGATGACTTCTAATCGACTCAAGCTGAATGACGACAAGACTGAAATCATTGTCATTGGAACAAGACAGCAGTTAGCTAAAGTGAATGTTATTGGTTTAGAAGTTGGTAATTCCAACATATCACCCTCCAATGAAGTCCGGAATCTTGGCTTATTAGTCAAGGATATCATTGCCCTTGTCATTCCCTGACGATGCTGTAGTACAGCGAAAGCTTGGACTCAAAATACGTATATTTTTTTACAACATCATATAGCAGCCTTGGCTACATTTGTATACATTTCTTTCGCGAAGAGTGTTTTTTGATATCACACCCATGACATGCTGTGTTGTTATTTTAGTTGCAGCTCTTCTTGTTGTTAATTATGCTCCATCACCAAAACTATAGCCAAGTTCTTTCAAACGGTTGAGCGACCACCAAGTTTTTCTCTCCTCTTCATCACATATTATTTCTCCTAGCCGGTTTGATACATCCTTAGGATTCATCGTAATATGGCCAATAGGCTTAGCTGGTCTGCAAGATGGTCTGAAGCTTCGTTATATGATATTCCTGCGTGGCCTGGAATATACGTGATATGTAACGTTGACTTTAGGTTGTCTAAAAGTGAAACCCATGATTCCTTCACTAATCCTGATTTTANCCGGACGACGTGGTGGAGGTACTGGCGTCTTGTTTCGTGATTATCTATGTGTATCCAAGGGTCCAGCAGCTGAGCTCCATTCCTTTGAATACTCTGAGTGGAAGATCACATCTGGATCTCAGCGCATTCACTTTATCATCGTCTACAGACCTCCCTACTCAGAGGCGCATCCTATCACCACCAGCGCCTTCTTTGTCGAGTTTGCGCACTTCTTAGAGTCTGCTGTCTTCTGTTCCGACCATCGTGACTTTAACATTCATGTAGACCTGCCTTACGACCCAGATGCTATTAAACTGCGTGAACCCATATCAGCAATCATACTCTTGATCTTATTATAACTCGTCATGGCGATAAGATCTGCGTCTCTTCCCCATGGACTAACGACTTGTTTTCTGATTATATGCCAGTATTCTGTCGTCTTTGGGTTGATAAGCCACCCCTCAAAGAGACAAAGATCTCATTTCGCAAAGTAAAATCTATCGACGTGGATGCTTTTAAGGCTGATCTGCTAGCTTCTGACCTATGTAAAGACCTGGCCTACTTGGATATTGACGACCTTGTCGCTCGCTACAATGACACCCTGCTCTCCACTTTAGACAACCATGCACCTCTTCTCCCCAAGTCAGTCACAAAAAGACCAAATGTCCCCTGGTTCTCTAGGGAGGTTGAGGCTGCAAAGCTTGCTAGACGCAAGGCAGAGAGAAAGTGGCGTAGGTCGAGGATGTATACTGACTTTTTAGTCTATAAAGCCAAGAAAAATCAGGCTACTCACATCATGAAAAGCTCGCGTAGAGACTACTATACCAAATTCATCGATGAGAACAGCAGCGATCAGCGCAAGTTATTTCGTTCCGCAGGGACTCTCTTCGATACAAAGGCAGATCTGGATTTCCAGGGTTATAGTGACAACAATATTTTGGCTAATGACATTGGTTTGTACTTTGCACAGAAAATTGAGTGCATACGCACTGACCTTGACAACTACACCTTGTTAGAGAATGCTGAGCCACCTAGCACAAACATGATAGAACTGCCGGCGAACATCCACCAGTTGAATTCATTCAGTGAATTATCTGAAGAAGACGTTAGAGAGCTTATCTCTATGAAGAAATGCATTACTGATACTAGACATTGGATGACTTCTAATCGACTCAAGCTGAATGACGACAGGACTGAAATCATTGTCATCGGAACAAGACAGCAGTTAGCTAAAGTGAATGTTATTGGTTTAGAAGTTGGTAATTCCAACATACCACCCTCCAGTGAAGTCCGGAATCTTGGCTTATTAGTCAAGGATATCATTCCTATTGTCATTCCCTGACGACGATGCTGTAGTACAGCGAAAGCTTGGACTCAAAATACGTATATTTTTTACAACATCATATAGCAGCCCTGGCTACATTTGTATACATTTCTTTCGCGAAGAGTGTTTTTTGATATCACACCCATGACATGCTGTGTTGTTATTTTAGTTGCAGCYCTTCTTGTTGTTAATTATGCTCCATCACCAAAACTATAGCCAAGTTCTTTCAAACGGTTGAGCRACCACCAAGTTTTTCTCTCCTCTTCATCACATATTATTTCTCCTAGCCGGTTTGATACATCCTTAGGATTCATCGTAATATGGCCAATAGGCTTAGCTKGTCTGCAAGATGGTCTGAAGCTTCGTTATATGATATTCCTGCGTGGCCTGGAATATACGTGATATGTAACGTTGACTTTAGGTTGTCTAAAAGTGAAACCCATGATTCCTTCACTAATCCTGATTTTAGTCTAACCACAAGACTAGACTGTTAGCAGTACAATGGTGTCGTTGTTAGCTCCATATTTATTGATCTAAACTAAAGCATCTTCGAATCCTTCTGCACGGAATGAGCTTGTTTTCCCTGCTTACACTTGCTCCAACTGTAGACATACCTCTTACCCTTACAAATCACCCCCGCCCATGCCGCTCAATGAACCATCTGYAGCAATGATTACATTTGCTTGGATAGACGTGATGTATTTATCTATTATTTCCTGATTCATGATGGGGTTTGTCTCACGCCAATTTCTATCGCCAATTAAGTCCACGTTCAATTTCATCTTATTGAGCGGTAACCCAGATGTCAGGCGTGATGGTATTGCTCAGAGTAACCTTTTCGACTAACGCGTCTTCTAAGTCAAAAAGACCTATTGCATAGCAATTATTGTACTGCAAACCTTCTTGCATGATATGCAACAGAGCTTCTACATTACWTGTTGTTGAGCGTTTGGGTCTTGCACCTCCGACACTTGTTGGTAGTTTGTTTTTTCTTTCAAGGTAGTCAACTATCCGTCTGGCAGCAATCTTTTCGCACAGTTCAACCAAGACATTAGCCATCGTTATCACTCTGTATCTCTTAAGTAATCTATGGTCTTTATGAGTATTACACTCAGATTACAGTCTCTCCAGTCTTCCGGTACTTCACCTTTTTGAGAGTTATATTGGAACCTACACTTAAGTCAATAAAGTCTTTTTAGTGATATGGTTAGTTTTTCGATTGGCTCAATATGACAGAAATTACAATTCATTTCATAACTCCGGAATGGCTAATATGAGTGATGACGTTCTTCAGTGCTGCTTCAATTACTTTTGGCTCATTTTCCCATACCAAACTTTTGGTTATATTATGGTTTTGATGTCATTCCATTTCCTTCTCAATTGTTCATGGGAGTCCTGCTGCAGCTGATTTAGGTATCTCTTTAGAAAGGCGCTTCCTTTTGCCTCAACAGATCTTAATAAATTGCCGTCACTATCTTGGAATTCCTGAGGTGACGGGCTTGCCTCATTCTCAACGTTTTTGAGTATTTTTGCCAGCTTCCAAAATTTTCTTACCACTGATCTATCCCGTGGGTCGCAGATTGAACAAAACCGGTCCCATGCTTCTTGGCGCCCCTCTTGGGTAATCTCCTCGTAAGTACGCGTTGCTTGATTGTATTCCCGCCTCTTTTCTTCAATGACAGTGGATTCTAGTCTGCGTTTTTTTGCTTTGCTATATGCCTTACTCACACGTATTTTAGCTTCCCGTGCATTCAGTACTTTATTGTTGCAAACCCACTTGGATGTAAGTTCTCTATCTTTCTTTGTGGTGATCTTCAATGATCGAATAAAACCAATGATCGTCTAAAAGAGTTCATGTGCACTTTAAGTCCTTGTGGCCACTCTATATGGAAAGCCTTGAATCCAGCAAAATGTCTTTCCAATGCGGATCACATGATACTTAATTTGATGAACTCTTTTTTACTTTACTTAGGTCTACCAGCTGGAAAATCGTTCCTCTGCTGCGACTTGGTCTTCTAGCATTAAATCAGTCAAAGGTGAATACAAAATAGCAAAATAGGTGAAGTGGTTTATCAAACATCATTTTTCATAGAAAAAAAGTCTTTCGGCAAGTATTTTTCTTATCCATCTCTCAAAAAATGACATTTGCATGACAGCTATGAAAGCAAGAGCAATGGAAATCTTTTTAAATGAATTTATTTAATCCATCTAAGGCTTATCAGAATTCTAATAACAGAGTTGCAGAGTACAAACACTAAAAGCGTGCAATACTTTACACTATTTACTACAAAATAGTGCTAATTAAACAATAGAAAACAAAATTAGCATAATTTAACGGCATTTAGGGCCTGATTATTTATATGAAGCGGGCTGGCTCGGTTTGCCGAGATCATTATTTATTCATCCTGTCTCGCGATTATATTAAAAAGGATTAGCCGGACTACCCCAGCTGAATCAATTAAGTATTGCCGCGAAGGATTGTTTAAAAAAATAATAAATCTCCACAAAATGGAGATAATAATTTGACCAGGATAAGGAAGTTTGTTCGCGAGTGTTAACACAATTTTGTATGCTCTTTTCATTTTCATCTTTTACATGCTTCAAAGAAGGCTGTAATTAATAACGTAGTAACTTCTAAAGCACAATCGTATAAGAAAATGCTAAGAAAGGAAAAAATTACGACGAGTGACGTCCTTGCGCTCTCGTGTTGTATACAAAACGGTTGACACACTTCTGGACAGCAGGCGCACTAAAGCGGGCCAGCCCGCCTCATATAATCAGGCCCTTAGTGGTATTTATATTGAACAGTTTTAGTGTTTGTACTCTAATAGAGTGATCGCACCTTGCAACTGTACAAAATCTAAGTAGTACTTAAGTAATTAAATACTGTCTGATGAGTGCGTAGCACGAAACTCGGAGTTACAGCAAAATCTTGCCTCTTTGATATTATATATATATAAATTATAAATTATAAATCATTTTAAGGATATTTCATTTTTTTTCATTATTTGACTGATTAGCATGTTTATTCTAAAACAATTAGACCTCTCGGCCTCGTGGACTACGAGCTAATAGCCCATTCGGCCTCGCGGACTCGGCCTCAAGGGCTAAAGATCTAACAGCTAGCCACATGCAGTCAACGACTGCCTTTAATTGCAATAATTTGTAGGGTAGCTTATATTTTATAGTTGAASATTTCAAAATATGTTTGAATTTCCCTAAATAGGTGTTATCCCAAAGAATTTTATGGTTTGAAATATCATTTAGCGAGAATAGAGCGAAAATATCATTACATTACCCATAATGCACCCTATATAATGATATGGGTGAACGGTCAACTATGTCAATGAAAAGCGATTTCATGAAAGCGCTTGTTTACTCTATGTTAGCATTAAGAAGTGTAAAAATAATAATATTCATTTGCAGATTGAATYCACTGAACGTCAACACTGGCTCACACTTTGTCAGGAAGCATCTACAGAAGTGAGTCACTGTTTTGTGTTATAAATGTATGAGTATAGAAAATCGCACTACCTTGAGTACAATTTGGAATTAATAGGCACAAATAATTTTTTGAGAACTTTCAAAACGTTACGAGTGACTATTAATTCAAAATTGTACGAAAACAAATCTTCAAAACATCGCGTTGTGGACATTACCTAAAAACCGTTGTGGACATTACATTCCGGTTCTTCAAAGCTTTTGGCGTTGGGGCACGGGCACCCTGTGACCAGCAAGCAAACAAACACAAGCTTGTTCGTGTTGTTTTTTAATTAATGCAGCCAGACATCGAGAAGATATTTGGAATAATCTTGACATGCAATGGAGAACAATAGACGAGTTCACGCATGACGATGAATCATGGGTAATCAGGACAAGATTACTAAGAGGCGATGGGGAAAGAGATACGTTTTTCGCAATATTTCGTTTCTGAGTTAAACATCCCAAACCAGACTCTTCCTGTAGATGGATAATCGACTGTTGTAGAAGGCACAAATATAAAAATCGCACCCAATGTAATAAAGGTCACAAATGTAATAAACTTTGGACCCAAATGTAATAACCGTCACAAATGTAATAAACTTTGGACCCAAATGTAATAATAATGAAAAGCCGTTAAGTTTGTCGCCACAGGTAGCCCATCTCCCGTAACTCCTCAGAGACTGGGAAGCCTGTGGCAAAAGGACTTAAAAAGATCCACTGAACTTCGAAATTAGCTATTTTTCAATGTCTCATGTGGAATCGCCCTTTTATTTCTTTTTGAAGCTCATGCCTCGCTTAGTAATCACTCCGAATTTCATTGCAAACAAAATACTTGCACATAAAAAATTGATCGATTTTTTAAGATACTAATTTGCATATATAACTACAGACGTAAACACATCCGAATTCCAGAAAATTTTGAAGCTCATGCCTTGCTTAGTAATCACTCCGAATTTCATTGCAAACAAAATACTTGCACATAAAAAATTGATCGATTTTTTAAGATACTAATTTGCATATATAACTACAGACGTAAACACATCCGAATTCCAGAAAATTTTCTTTTTAATTTTAGAAATACTCTGAAAATCAACGAAATAAATAAGAAAGAGTTACCTAGAAAGCCACAATTTAATTTTTTTAAATTACTATTTTACATTTCACACAAGCTCGGTAGAAAGTTTGGCTATTTTGCTGTGTGCTATTTTTMGCCATCAAACATTTCTCACGCAAGGGCCCAATATGTCACACTGTTTAGCGATTTTYTTGCGAAAAACGAAATATTTTCAAAACCCAATTACACAGCGATTGTTACTTAATCATACCTTATCTATACATCAAATATGAATAGATTTGATTTTTAGAGCCTTGCCAAGATATGCCTGATTTTTGCGCGAAGTGGCTCTTAATTCCTAAATTTATACGTTGTAACGCAATAATCATTTGGGGAACAACTTGTGCTGATTTTTGATCTTGTAATACAGGTGCTTAAAATAAACCCTGATTGTGTGGCAGCCCGTCTTATTCAAGGCATCGGATGTCATTTACAAGGAAATGCAAGGTAAATTAACTGATATTATAGGAAAATTCATTGGATGAGTAGGGAATCTCGCAATGAATTTCACGAGAAAAACGATATGCACTCGCGAAGCGACTCGTGCGATATCGTTTTTTCGAATGAAATTCATTGCGGAATTCCCGAGTCATCTAATGATTTTTGCTTAAATCCCATATCTAGATAGAAATAGTCCTGTTTTCAGTTCTTGAGACCGATAAGTTTATGGTCGACAGCAGCAAACATGTTCTCGTTGACTTTACTTCAACAAAAAGTATTTTTTGCTAGAAAACTCGATTATATTTGAACCAAATACACTCAAAAAAATTAAACTTGAAAGTCTTGGATGTAAAGGGCAAATTTACCATTTTTTCTGCTTGTTTTTATTGGCTGGACTCAATAATGAAAACGCTAAACTAGTTTGGTTTCCGCCGGGTACGCGACTCGTGCGATATCGTTTTTCTCGTGAAATTCACTGCGGAATTCCCTCGTCATCCAATGAATATTCCTATAGAAGTAGATAAATGGTGATTGACTTTATATGCTATGATGACATGCATTTCCTTTTAAAGAGACTACTCTTTCTTCTGAATATAAATAAACCATCTCTGTAGAAACGTCATTTTTAACTCTGCAAGAACGTGTTTATTTTACATTAAGATCATTATTTTTTAGGCAAGCTAAAAGGTTTCTGCAAAGTTCGGTTGACTCGTGTAGTAGTGCCTCYAGCATTGCWCAGCACTGGCTTTCTCTCTCTACAAACAAGTGAATTCCAAGCAGCAAAACAGCCAACTATTTGATAAAGTTATGTCATATTAACCTKTGTGAGCACAAAATTATATGTTATTAAAAAATTAATAGTTCCTGATGAACTTTGAGAATCGTATCTGTCAAAATACGGAAATGTCCCCGATTCTTCTCTTAAAATATATATTATTATTAAGTGCTCTCCGTCTTTCATCGCGTCAGGAGCCCTCTTCTTCATAAGCTCTTGTAACGGCATTTGCCCCTCTTGGTGCTATTTCGACCAATCAGAAATTTACCGGCCGCCATTTTGAATTTCGAATCGRGAACAAGGTCTAACAGACTTCGTGCCCAGGGGTATTTTTTCTGGGAGTGAGGAACGAACGACAGAAGATTACCCCTGGGTTCCCGAGGATGTGTCATGCTTTTTGATCACATTCGTCGGTAAAGAGACCAGAAATGGCGATTCGTTCATGTATGAGCTTTTTCGCTTATTTTATTTACAGCTTTTCACTATCTTTAGACATGTGAATATAATAGTTAATGGTGCCATTGAACCTTTGTTACAAAATAGTTTTTATAAAAGCGAAAATTTCTTCACTTGTACAAATATAAAATTCAATCTAAAAACACCTGACGGCCGCCGGCGGCTCTTCACAACTCGGCATCTCAATAAGCGCGCGGGGAATGGCGGGAAAATCTAAAAATAGCACCAAGAGGGGTAAATGCCGTTCCACAAGCCAATGGGAAAAGAAAGGCTCCTAGTCATGGGCTCCTGATCGTGCTGACGAAACATGTGAATTGCACAAAGTTTTTGGTCATTAAGTAAACTTTAAATAAAAAACTTAATAATAACTTAAAAAGGACTAGTTTTTTGTGACAACGCCTTCATGACGCTCAAAACTTGTGAAAACTTTGATTCGATTGTTGCTCGTCAGTGTGAGCATGAGATAAGCACAAGAAGATCATGCCTTGCTCGTTTTTCTTGTGCTCATRCTTATGCTTATTTTGAGCCCGTTCTCACTGGCGCATATGACTCTCGTGCTTCGTGCTTATGCCTATGCTTATTCGCTAGTGAAATCCACGCTTTAGACTAATCGTCCCTCATGTTATTCATGAGGAACGGAAGGTAAAGGAAACCTTTGCTTCCTAGTAGGGACAACTGATTGTCCCTACAGCTGTCTTCTTTTTACCTCTGCAATGAACGGTCTCGTTATCGTCGTTATCGTGATTTTTGGGCCAAATTGACCGTGTAGCTCTGGTTCCGAGTCTCTACTTCGTACCGCTGAGCATGTGCACTTGACGAATCTCAATGTTTGATAATAGTTTATAGGCTTCTTTGCATTATACTTGCAAATATAAAAACAACTTTTCGGGGTTGAAGTTAATATAAGGTTCGTTAACTTCAGCATTGAATAGAACTGAAAAGCATTTGTTTGAAAGTTCGTTGTGGGAAATCAGTAACAATGGTCGGATTAACAATATCATTTTGAACTGTTGTTCTACGAAAACCTTTTCAATGACACAATAAAGTAGTTGGTACTCTTAGAACAGTGCGTATCCATTCTTGTTCATGTCACATTCTAATTCATGCGTGAAGCAGGCGTTTGTTGCAATGTTTTTATTACTTCTGATTCAAAACATTGGAGCATGCAAAAAAACAGGAATTCAAACTCGCTCAAGTTCAACTTCATTTTTTCCTCGGAATTCATGGTATTACAAAGTAATGTTGTAGTTCAGGCTCAATATGATTTTGAACCAGTTCAATTTCTTCTGAACTGGTTCAATTTATTTTGARCCAGTCCAATATARCTCAATCCAGTACAAATCAGTTTAGGGTTAGGTTTAGGGTTAGGTTTAGGGTTAGGATTACGGTTAGGTTTAGGGTTAGGTTTAGGGTTGAGAATAGGATTGAGCCAGCATTATATAAAAATTTTCTTCATTAATAAATTACAAAATAAGATAAAAACAATTTGCAAACATTACTACCAACAAAATCCTTGATGGTATAATTGGTAGTACTGTGGACTATGAAGCAAGAGTTCAGTGGTTCAAACCCTGTTGAAGGTAAGTGTTATTCATAAATTAAAAATATAGAAAATATCAATATTTCTGTGGGGTATAGGGTAAGATAAAGTAGGAAATAGTAGAAAATAAGTAGAAAATAAGATGATAGATAGAAAATGGGAGAGAATGAGATGGGATATAGTTCTTTTGGTTCTTTTAAGAATGCCAAAGCAAAAAAAAAAAAAAAACCAGTACAAGAAGTCTTGTACTGGAACAAATTAGGTTAAACTGGTTCAAAAATATATTGAACCTGAACTACAACAGTAATATCATGGCTCTGAGGGAGATTAGGGATTAAATGTCCCCGAAGCCGAGGGCAGATAAGTTCAAGTCCCAACGGCCGCAGGCATATGAAAGCGAATGAACGGAAAACTGCAGGGGTAAATGGCTATAATCTCTCTATGTACTCCAATGGAACGAATAAGTTTAACAAGTTTTTTTTCTACTGTGCTTTGGATCGTTGAAGAAGGAAATATTTGAAACGTTTTGGAGCAGCGAATACAAGGAAGACATCAGTCCTCTCAAAGTCATTTCTTGCGCCTTTATCACTCCCGCTACTGGAACATTTGCTTGGGTAGGTGCTGAGAATTCCGAAGTGGTCATTCTAAACGATTTCGATGGCACCCATCAATAATAGCTTGGGGAGACTTTTTACAATTACTTGAAGGGGATGCTGTCCACTTACCGACACCTAAAAGTTTTTCTAGTAAGGACATTGAATTTACTAAAGATACTCCTTTCTTTGCTACGTCTTGAGCACCACTAGTAATGATCAAATCTGGTAGCAGTAGACACGGCTAATGCATCTATCAATGTTAAGCCCCCGGGGAGGGAGGCCGGGCAAGGGGCGGGGATTTATTTATTTTTTCTTTTCCCTGTCAAAAGCCTCACCGTCAGGAAAAATTTG